AACTGTGTGATGCTATCATGTCAATATGGAGCAAAATCTCTGAGGAATATTTCCAGTATCTTGTTGAATCGACGCCATGATGGATTACGGCAGCTCTGCAGTCAAAGGGGGTCCAACCTGGTACTAGTAAGGTGTACCTAATAAAGTGGCCAGTGAGTGTGTATATTAAAATAAGATCAACTATTCTCTGCAGGCCGCTGAAATTGGCCCAAAAAAGTTAATTAATAATACATTGACGTTTTCTTTGCTGTTAATGATGCTTGCCTAAATTCTGGACTCCAAACTGAGCAGAGTTCTCGGATTGATCATCAGATCATTAACTGCTGCTGAATTTCAGTGAACTCAAACCTCATTGACTGTCCTGATCTTGATCTTCGTCATCATCATCCTCATCTCTCTCAGACTTGCTAATGAGCGGCTGAGCTGAAGCCCATTCCTCATCTGGGCTTGTATTTTCACACTTAAAATGATGAATCCTCGCGCAGCGCTGATAATAGGCCTAATATTTCACAGTGAGAGGGTTTGTGAGGACGTGCATCTGTTCCGCCGATCTATAAAGCGCCGTCCACAGCCAAACCCTGAGAGGAATCAAACCTGCAGCAAAAGGCCTGGAAATAGAAACGGTATTTATTTGGAGAGAGAAAAGCAGATTAGCGCAGACAGGAGAGCGTTTCTCTGGACTCCAGGAAAGACCTGCTCTCTATTACTGCACTGACGCTCGGCTCACATGATGGACAAAACACAACACACACGTCCCTGTGGACCAATTCACCAAATCAGGGACGCGCTTTTGGGGGTTTAAACCTGCAATGCAGGCCGGCTTTCTGCTGTTACCTGTCAACAAACAAACTAAATAAATGAATAAACATGCATCCGCATCTAAAATGACTTTCATAAGTGGAACAAAACAATAAAATTAAATAGAGAAAAAGGTCAGCTTGAGAAAGAAAAACGTGATTTATTTACAGTGGCTATGGAAAGTATTCTGATGCCCTTAAATGTTTTACTCTGTTGCATTACGGCCATTTGTTGAAAGCATTATCTCCTCATTAATGTCCACACAGCACTCCATAATGACAGAAAAGCACACGATGTTTGCAGATTTATTAAAGAGGAAAAACTGAAATATCACATGGTCATGAGCATTCAGAGCCTCTGCTGTGACCCTCATATTTTTACCTCAGGCGCTGTCCATTTCTTCTGTTCATGCATGTAGTTCAGCTGCAGGGACAGGACAGACTGAAAAAGACTTTAGCAAGTGAATAAATATATTTAAATACCACAAAATGTTTTACTATTAACACCTGTGATATTAATATACACTCACTGGCCACTTTATTAGGTACACCTGCCAAACTGTTCGTTAACACACATTTCAATTTAGCCAATCACATGGCAGCAACTTAATACAATTAGGTGTGTAGGCATGGTCAAAACGATCCGCTGCAGTTGAAAGCAAGCATCAGAATGGGGAAGAAAGGTGATTTAATTACTGGACTTTTTCAGAACCTGCTGATCTACTGGGATTTTCACGCACAACCATCTCTAGGGTTTACAGAGAATGCTCCGACTAAGAGGAAATATCCAGTGAGCGGCAGTTCTGTGGGCGCAAAGGCCTTGTTGATGGTCAGAGGTCAGAGGAGAATGGCCAGACTGGTTCCAGCTGATAGAAAGGCAACAGTAACTCAAATAAGCACTCGTTACAACCGAGCTCTGCAGAAGAGCATCTCTGAACACACAACACGTCCAACCTTGAGGCGGATGGGCTACAGCAGCAGAAGAGCACACCGGGTGCCGCTCCTGTCAGCTAAGAACAGGAAACTGAGGCTACAATTCACACAGACTCACCAAAACTGGACAATAGAAGATTGGAGAAACGTTGCTGCTCTGATGAGTCTCCATTTCTGCTGACACATTCAGGTGGTCGGCTCAGAATTTGGCAGCCGACAAATCTGCAGCAACTCTGTGATGCTATAATGTCAATATGGAGCAAAATCTCTGAGGATTATTTCCAGTATCTTGTTGAATCGACGCCATGAAGGATTTAGGCAGTTCTGAAGGCAAAAGGGGACAAACCGTGTACCTAATAAAGTGGCCAGTAAGTGTATAATCAATATTTTATAAATAATATCAATATACTCACAAAAAATGTTTGAAAAATGAAAAGTAAACAAAATACAGTTCTGAGAAGTTTTCATATCTTCAAAAAAGTAAAACAATTATATATAAAACAAATACAATATAAAAAGCTAAATAAATAAATACAAAAATGCATTAACATTTTGGATTCTGAACATTAATTTCTGAATAAAACAACAGCATATAAATATAAAAAATATAGCAATATAAAAATGACAATAAAAAAATCATACAATACCTGTGCCAAAGATCTGAGTTCATATCAATGTTTAGTGTACAGAATAATGTGCAAACCTTACTGCATTAATATATATATATATATATATAATCTGGCATGACGCATGCGTGTGTGTGAATACGACACAAACACACACTGATGATTCTCACATTTACCTTTATTAACACAATTACACAACAAGATTCATGATTCCCATTGGTTTTCCAGTAACAGCAGTAAAGCACAGCTTGATATAGTGAATGTTGTACCGTTATTTCACACACACACACACACACACACACACACACACACACATACATACACACACACACACACACACACACACATACATTCGCCTCCACACACACAGACAACTGTTGGTTTGATGATCTGAAACTACACGACTTGATCGCTTCACATTTAATCAACAGCTAAAGCATCTATTTTCATTTACATGTCATGATGGAGCGGAGTCTGAACAACTGCATACAGC